CTGTGGAAGAGAGGTGAAGAATAGAGTACAGGCAGGATGGAACAACTGGAGAAAAGTGTCAGGAGTGATCTGTGACAGAAGAGTGTCAGCTAAGGTGAAGGGAAAGGTTTACAAGACGGTGGTGAGACCAGCCATGATGTATGGTTTAGAGACGGTAGCAATAGGCAGAAGACAGGAGGCGGAGCTGGAGGGGGCAGAGTTAAAGATGCTAAGATTCTCCTTAGGAGTGACAAGAATGGACAGGATCAGGAATGAGGTCATTAGAGGGACAACACAGACAGGAAGGTTTGGAGAAAAGGCTAGAGAAGCCAGATTAAGACGGTTTGGACATGTGCAGAGGAGGGACAGTGGATACATTGGTAGAAGAATGTTAGAGATGGACCTACCTGGTAGGAGACAAAGACGACGGCCAAAGAGGAGATATATGGATGCAGTGAGGGAGGACATGCAGATAGCTGGAGCCAGAGCAGAAGATGGAGAGATGGAAATCAATGATTCGCCGTGGCAACCCCTGAAAAAAGGAGAAAAAGAATATTTTGGTACATCAGCTATTGATCAAACAGTCTTTGAAAAATAAAAGTTCCTCAAAAATGACAAACTTTGCACTTTTTTTTGCCTTAAAATACTCACACTACACACTTTAGTCTGTAGTATAGACATACCAAGTATAAAGTTTTTTTTTTCAGAGAACAAACCTACATATTTTAAGAAAACATATAGCAACATAACATACATAGTTTCTTAATGGATTTTTGGCATAAAAAACATTTTATCTAGACATCAAATTAAATTAAAACTAAGGTTCTATAACTTGGCATCAAGTAGCAACATGTGTCCCAAATAAAGGTTTGACCAATTAAATTGAAAAGAAAGATGCTCAGTTGTCCAATGTGTCTTTGTAAATAATAAAGTCTAGCCTCCCTAAAACCTGCTGGCTTCTCAACAAAGTCTAGGTTGTGTGACAAAAATCAAAAGTTCTCCAATAATTGCTCTTATCTATCTATTGAAAGGAGGCAAAACATTTTTGCATGAGACAGGGGGGACGTCAATGTGACTAAGTTCAGAAAGAAAACCTCAATCAAAAGGCACAAAAGGAGCCGATTGTACTCACTGCACGTTGACTTCAGGTTTGACCTCTGTAATTGAATCGGAGCCGAGACAACGGACGTCCTCAGGTCTGACTTGTAATTACAAGAGCTTGTGAACCTGGAAGCAATCCAGAGGGAGAGAAGGTGTCAGGTTGTATGGCTTTGAATGGAGCGGTCAATAATTCATCAGCATATACAAACAGGCAGTCAGCTGTGAATAGGAGCACAGCTGCACTTCCGTTCACAATGACACTGTTGCTGCAGCTGAGTACAATTACGCTGTCTTATCAAAGGAGAATCACGGCAGACGAACGACGACAGAAAACTGCAATACACAACAGGCGTGTTGTACAGACACGTATCTGTGTTACACTCATGTATCCGTCAGTCGGCAAATTGAATTATTTTCGGCGTCGTTAACTGGGTGGGAGGGGAAAAGAGAGAGCGCAATATTTTCCATGTGGAGTAAGAAAAGTTTCAGAAACCAAGTGACCAAGAACAAATAACACATTTTACATTACCAAATATGAAGTCACTGATGGTTTGACCATATTAGACATTTGTTAATACATCCTTGTCATTCATTAGTGCTAATAAGGTCTTCACTGAAATTCATGTGACATGAAATATCCACGAATACATTTTCATTCACATCAAGCTCATTACTGTAGCTGACCTTTGACCAAGAACAATTCACATGGAACTCGCTGGTAATATCTGATGTGAAGCGAAAATTACAGACATTAGAGGTGACGGATAGTAGAGGAGACGGATATGAGAGGAGAATGATATCAAGGAATGCAATTAGAAGAAAATCACCATTTACTTGACAGATAGAAATTCAGTAAAGTGAGAGAGAATATAATTGTCATTTTAAGCATAGAGAAATTAGGGAAAGTCTAATTGAACACTCAGTCACCAAATGGATGTACAGACTGCATAAAAAACAATATGATACCAGGTCTGAGAAGCGGGAATGCGTACATTAAAAAAAAAAAAAAAAAAGTTAAAGAAAGTCTCAAAAGTCTTAAAAATTAAGTCTGCCTTTACAAGTGCGATAACAGAACACATAGACAAGAAAGTCAATGTTTAAAATTCATATCCACTATTTTTTTCTGAGCATCTATTACTAACGAACACCAAAGAAAAAATGCTACAAAAATAAGAAATACGATTTTTTTTTTTTACTTCTTATTCTGATTATTTCTACCGGTGTTGTTGGCAAACATGGTCAGCTTCAGATCTCCACAAATCAAATTACTCTTGAACACCAGAGGAAAAAAAAGTTGACAACATGACACCAACTCACTTCCCACGTCTCTCTCCCTTGATATCCTTCAAACCACTGACAAGGAAATCATTCCACTGCTGGGAAATAAAAACACAACACAACAAAGAATAAATACAGGTGTCACCTCCCTGTCTGGGAATGAATGATGAATTCAGTCCCCTACCTCATATGTGAGGTTCCTCATCTGAAGCCTTCTTGGGGCTTTCACAGGATTTACTGAAAGATGTTGGGCCGTTGTCAGGACATGCTAATTCTGCCTCAGCTCAGAAAACAATTTACTTCTCAAAAAAAAAAAAGCAGAAACGAACGGGGGAAGAAACAATTTGGTAGAAATGTCAAGACTCAAAGCTGAAAATGTTCTAACGCACTCAAATGAAGATGATGATGGATGAAACTTTGCGAGTGCATGTCCAGGAGTGTCATGTGAAAATGAAACTCAGAACAGCTTGAGTGCCTTTGAATGGGTTCAAACAGACATCCGTGAACATGAGCTCTCATTTACAAGTAGCTGTCTGTCATTGTGATAATGGCTGGAAATAGTACGGCTCGGAAATGATCAGAGAGCATCTACACTTTTGTTGTAAGACGCTGTTTTATTCCGATCAGAAACTCTTCTGTCCCGACTACAGCAGGAAAAGTAAGAGAAATGTAACCAATGGGGATGCAGTGCAAGCAGTAAAGAGAAAACTGCTGCATGGTGACAACTTGACAGAAAGGACCGACCTCTCCCCTGAACAGCTGTGTGACCTTCTTGACCTTTGTCTCAACATCACCATCCAATCCAACATCATTTCCAATATAACGAAGATTTCTACAGGGAAAAACACAGCTGCATAATGGGATCGCCATTATCCCTAATTGTAGCGAGATCGAAAGATGGAGAGTACAGCCCTAACAACTTTCAGAGGCCACTCGCCAAGACATTGGTTCAAATATGTGGACAAAACCTGGGTCACCATCAGAAAGGGTAAAGTTGAAAAATTCTACTGACCAGAAGATGTCAGGGACAACTTTCCTGAAATGTGTTGGGCACATTGGAAGAATAGGGAACTCAACCTGGAGGTCTATAGAAAACCTACCCACACCGATCAGTACCTTCTGTTTGATTCACATCATCCACACAAACACTAATTGGGGGGTGATCCGGAAACTTCTGCACAGAGCCCAAAACATTCCCTCAGAATCAGAAGGGAAAAGAAGAGGGAACACAAACACATACACACATCACTCCAGAACTGTGGCTAAGAATCCCAGCAAGGAGAAGAAAGTTGATGAAGTCCAAAGGAGAAATAACATTGTCATCCCAAAAGTGGCAGGAGTTTCAGAGAAACTCAGGAGGATCTTTAACACCCACCAGATCCTGCTCCATTTCAAACCCAGCAACACCCTGAGGCAGAAACGTGTCCACCCTAAGGACAAGATTGCCACAGCAATGTGGTGTATGCAGTGTAATGCAATGAGGAATGCTCTAACCTGTACCACAACATCAGGCCAGGACTCAGCAGTCCACCTCTACCTGAAGGAGAAGGGCCACTCCTTTGATGATCAAAAAGTGTGCATTCTAGCCAGAGAGGACATATGGTTTGAGACAGGGGTGAAGGAAGCCATAATTTCCACTGTCATTCTTTCACTGCTGTCTTGCGGTGACATTATCTTCTCCCCTCACCTCTGCTTCCTCTACTCCCTGACATCATATGAAAAATGTATCTCAAACTGTTTTTCTCTTTTTGACTTTTCGTGTTTACTCTCAGTCTCAAGGTTAAACAACTGCCACCAGATTTATTGGTCCTACACAATCACACTGGAAAATGTGATTGTCTGCCAGGACGGGCCAGAGAGGTAGTGGAATTTTGGAAGAAAAAACAACTTGTTGTGAGCCATGTGACATGAAGAGCAGCTGAGGAGATGAAAGATGAAGGCTTTTAATGCCTTTTCATCTTTGGTCTCTGTTTTTTTTTATCAGATAAATCAATACATAAACCAAATGTGTAGAGCAAGAATTTATACATTAATCTAAACATCTAAACGCAATAACAACAGCTAATGTTCTGTAGAAATCCTATGAAATTACTAGCATGTTTCAGGCCTGAATTCTAGAAGATTGGATATTTTAATTTCTGTTCTTAAGTTAACCAGTGAAGCAGTCCAGAAGGGAGGAAGTATATATATTTATTCCTATTACTTCCTATTTCTTAAGTGGAAACTACTTGCTTAAATACTTGCTAGAATCAATCGAGAGAATGACTGGATATGTGAAAAATAATATTAAAACTGCAATATGGCAAAAATATTCTTCGGGAATTACTAAAACATAAATAGTTATGGCAGAATAAATTTCATTTAAGGAGTTTATAGAATTAATTTCGCTGTCATGAGGTAGGAACTGCTGCTGAATGTGCATGACCGAGCAGTACAGAATACAAGACGAAGCCCCCGCCCCTTACATAATCATTGTTGCTAAACACAGTTAAAAGCGCCATCCAAGAATAATCTCTAAGATATACATGTCAAACTCAAGGCCCGGGGGCCAAATGAAATGCATGTATATCATGATTAAGAGAAGCAGACATTTAATAACAAACAAAATAACAGAACACATTTTTGCTGTGATAAAAAAAGGAATTATTTCTTCAATGTTTCAACACCTAATAATTCAAATGATTGCTTGTGTTTCATCGTCAGCTAATCAACGGAGCCATCATGTGCAGTTACACTAAGATGAATGATGTTTTTACAACTTGGGATTTAATTACAAGGGTAAAATATAATCGTCAGAAATGCGGATTTCATTATTCACACCTAGAGTCGATGCAGTTACTCACTTTAAATACAACGTGAAGATTTTATAAATTCAAAGCAGGATACTTTCCTTCTGACTGCGGATCACGCACAAAGACTGCTAATTACAGTCTGCCTGTAACAATAACAAGGATGCTAAAGATGAATACTGTGAAAGCTAACAAGAGCTAATGAGCAGAAAAAAGGCAAATAGAGTGGGGTTTTTTTTAAGTCGAGGGGAACAATGCTCAGGGAATAGAAACACGACAGTGTGACTGAGCTACACCT